AACCTGGGGTCCCCCAACAGTGCCAGCAGGACCCCAACGGCCAAAGCCACACAGAGCATCCTCATCCTCTCGTGTCTGAGCAGCAGAACCCTGCAGGCTCTCGTGTGCCCGAGAGTCCTCTGCTGCTTATAACAGGTCCTGGTGCCTTTTCCTGGTCACCTTCCCACAGCCACCCGTCACCACCAGGCACTGCTGGCTTATCGGTGTCCCGGCCACAGGGACAGGGATTTTCCATTGGAGGTCATCGGTGCTGCAAAGGACCAGTTGAACCATGGAATGGGTTGGGATGAAGGGACCTTAAAGCTCCTCCAGTTCCAACCCCTGCCCCGGGCAGGGACACCTTCCACTAGAGCAGGTTGCTCCAAGCCCCTGTGTCCAACCTGGCCTTGAACACTGCCAGGGATGGGGCAGCCACCGCTTCTCTGGGCACCCTGTGCCAGCGCCTCAGCACCCTCCCAGGGAAGAGCTTCTGCCTCAGAGCTCATCTCAGTCTCCCCTCTGGCAGGTTCAAGCCATTCCCCTTGTCCTGTCCCTCCATCCCTTGTCCAAAGCCCCTCTCCAGGTCTCCTGGAGCCCCTTTAGGCCCTGGAGCTGCTCTAAGGTGTCCCCTTGAGGAGCCTTCTCTTCTCCAGCTGCCCCAGCCCAGCTCTCTCAGCCTGGCTCCAGAGCAGAGCTGCTCCAGCCCTCGCAGCAGCTCCGGGGCCTCCTCCGGGCTCTCTCAAGCAGAGATCATCCCTGGTCTAATGGCCCCGACTCCACAGATGCTCGGTGCGTGGCTCCAGGAGGACGAGCAGGAGGTGCCACCGCGCTGAGCACACGCGGGACCCACCAGCTCGTGCTCTGGGGCTTTTCCTACTGAACCAGCTCATGATTATTTCAGAGGCAGGACCAGAAATAACCAACAGCGAGTGAATAATCCATGAGCTTGGGCTGAGCTCTGTGAGCGGGGGCAGGGCAGGGGGGAAACAAGGGAGGAACCATCTAAACCAGCCCCAGAGCAAAGGGCTGCTTCAAACAGACCCTCCCTGACCCTGCTCTGGGGCTGGAGATGGGGTTTGGCCCCAGAGAATGGGGGAAATCCCCCCTTAGGGTGCCAATACTTCTCCACGGTGCTCCCATCCCTCTGGAAAGCAGCACCAGCATCTCCTTCCTCACCTCCATCCCAAGGTTTTGGGATGCTACCGGCATAACGTGCTTCCACCAGCATGCTGCGCCGGATGCTCATCACCACCCTTGCTCCTCAAGCATCCCCACCACTGCAGGGTGCTAAGGATGGAGCTCACTAACAAGCTCCTTAGAGGCAAACCCCTTCTTTTCTGGTTAAAAATAGGTCAAGAATCTCCATTTCCAGCCCTAAAATGAATGATTTGTTGAGGGGCTGCAACGCAGGTGATGCTCGGGAGGTTCTTCAGCCTCACTCCCATCACACAACCACCTCTGCAGCCCCAGGGGAGTAGGGACCATGTGGCAGCGGTGTCCCTGTGTCACCCCAAGGAGCAGTCCCAGTGTAGGAAGCGGAGCTGCTGCCATCACCCCCAGTGCCTCTGGCTGTCCCGCTGCTCCAGCAGCACTCGATGGAAGCATTTAAGGTGGAATAGCACCGATTTAGGGTGGGAGATTCCCTCGGGAGCAGAGCAGGGACCTTCATCTCACCCTCACCAGTGGGACCAGATGGGCACAGAAGACCCCTGAAGCCTGACAAAGAATTTGGATGGGGAGTTGAAGCTTTGGTGATGAGATAAACCCCAAAAGAGGAGCCACAAACCCAGAGAGAGCCTTTATTCCAAAGAGAAA